AGTATATCGAATAGCCCCCCTGCTCGTATGCATCGTCATGCTCCGGGAAAATATCATAGTCATCCTTCTCATGCCAGTTCATCCCAAAACACAATGAAAACCAAGAAAACGAAAATACTCAAGACACGACAAAAGTATTCAAATCGCATACCAACACCCGCCAATCACTCTCGCTCTCTTCTGAAAATTCTCAACTCAAACTCTTTTCATTCAGAAAAATATGACGAACGCCGTTCAAAGACGCCTTTCCTTTCACCGCCAATTCGTCACAATATCTCGGTGCGTCTCTAAATCCGCCTAGCTAGATATCCTACCATTACCAAGATGTATGCAATCCGAAGACAAATTATTACATTCATCCACCAAACCTTCGTCCGCAGGTAAAACGCCAACAAGTATTTTCTCCCTGAAATACTCAAAATATGTCATTAATGTTCGGTGAAGAAATGTCAGCAACGCCATTTCGTTTGAAAGAATGTAACGTGCCCCCCTGCTTTGTGAAGGGGTCAGAGTCAAGCCGAAATACAATACGAGAAGTGCCGAAAATCAAAACAGCAGTACTTGTGATCCTCTCATCCAGACTTCAATCAGATGTGAAAAACCAAACCCAAAGCTTAAATTACACAAAACAAACGCCAAATCTCAAACTAAATCAAACTCAAAATGAACCTCAATGCGCCTACTTTCCCACCCATGAACCCCAGCGCATTGGACCACTGCCCCTGCCATTGTTTCTCCCCCGCGGATTTTCGCTCGCCTCCGCCGCGGTCGCCTTCTGTGCTCTTCGTCCGGCTGGCCGCGGCTGGAGCATCGTCAGTAAATCGTCCGCCTTCGTTGGGGGAGACCACAATTGTCGCTCCAGAAGGATTGACTCGGCAGCGGTGGAGGGCAGGTCGCGCGTTCGGAAGGGAAGATGGTGGCACAATCAGTTCCTTATAAAACAGCACTCTTGAGGAGAATCACATTCCATGCAACACTCCCCCCGGTTCTTCACAGGGGTGACTGCTGTACCAAAACAAAATAAAATACAGTTGGACATCCAAAATTTCTCTTCTGCCCACGCCGTGTAACTTCAAAGTTCGTGTGCTGCCACTGAAACGGTCTTGAGTGATCTCTTCGGAGGAACGCATTTGGTGGATCTTGCTCCGCGTCATGCTGAGTACTG